AGCATGATCACGAATCAAGGAATCATAGGGTGGGTGGTGCAATGTCTCAATCAAAGCTTTCTTATATTGAAAAAAGCTGGCAGATGGCTGAATATATCCTTTCTCATGAAAGAATCTAATAACCTTGAAAACATGCTCACATAGATTGCCCTTTTCTGCCCAATTGCAGTCACAAATGCCGAACTGTGAACCAGGGTTCCAGACAACATAAGTTCTATCATGATCAAGCTGATCCGTAACTTTTGCACATTTACCAACAAGTTTAACATTAAAATCTGGAATCTTCAATGCTTTCCACCAAGATGTTAAACCACTCACCCACTCATCTTTCCAGTACCTGGAAAAATCATCCTTCCCTGAGTACTCATCAAGCCAGAAGTAGGAATGTACTTTTGTGCCCAACTTATCTACCAACCAATCAGCACGATGATAAACACCAGGGTCTTTCTCATTCAATAATCGGCGCTTCAATTGATTGTGGTAAAACTCCATTGCTGCACATGTTTCCAAGCCAGCCAGAGGAGAAGTCTGTAATGCAGTGGTCCAAGCCCCTGAGATCACCAAAAAATTAATCCAAGTTCACTCGTTTCTAAAAGAAATGAAAAGAACTTGATATAGAAAATTTTAGGATTTATGATACATATATAGAATAATATTAAACATCCAAGTTGCTCCAACTGATCTGTTTCAAATTAGGATCCTGAACTTAATCAGAACAGATCATCCTTTCTCTGCCAACCTACCAACTCATACATCAACTAAAAATGCATGTCTTGGATTAATTTTGAAAACAATAAATAAGAAAATCATGATGGCTGTAGATAAGGTACCTCACCACCTAAATGGTAGAAGTGAGAAGAATGACAAGAAAGTAGGACCTCTTCCTAAATATCAGAAACAAACAGGTTGCTAAGAGAAATTATCACCAACCTATTCTTGGATACCAGACGGCCTTGAAATAGTCCATGAAATCTGAGCCATCCACAAAATCTTCCATGAAATCCTCAAATACAATAGTTGTCCCATGTCCTCTACAGATGTCATCTACTGCCTGCCCTAGCCGTCTAGCCATCTCAATCCGCATCTCAGTTTCACAACACCTCTTCACTAAGTTCTTATGCCATGCATGCCGAACACGCCAAAAGCTAACCAAGACAGAGCACTGAAAAACATCCCTGCACACAGTGCAAATAAGTTTTAGATAGTCCGAGCCATCCACAATGCAGACATATGATTCACTCCAAAATGCAGACAGCATTCAGGATGACTTCCATTGGGCCATGGCTAGCAATAGTTTAATGTGATTGATCAAGACATCTAACCTTTGATGTATCAGTTCTAGAAAGTCTGTAATTTCAGAATCTACATTATGATATAAGCATAAGAATACTTGCACCAAGCAATTAGACAACCAAAATAATTAGCATCTAGGCCTGAATTTACTGGATATTGGGAACAAATTCCAGCTGTAGAAAGCATGAATGTTAAAGCAACATGAGCTCGTTTTCCCTGTATTCAGAAAACATTATTCTAGTAGTTTGGCATCAGAATTTGCCAAGTTCTCTAAGCGTATAATCCTCAATTCTGTTCAATTTAAAAACTACAAGACCAACCTGATTGTTAGAACATCAGCTGAAGGATCATCCACTATAAAACCAGCCAATTTCCAAGAAGGATCTTTAGTACGAACTCTATTGTAGAGGGCTCTCATCCATTTATGAGCATCTACAGTGGCAAAACTTGGTGCTATTATCCAAGCTACAGGAATGGCTTTGTTATCTGAGTTAAACACGATCAGACTGTGAACAGGATACTGAAAATAATTCAAGGGGAGAGCAAAGTTAGCTTCTAATGGCCTTGAAGGGCCCTTCTGAAACTGACAATGAGAACCCTTAGTTGTTCAAATAATGTAAAATAGACAAACCTTCAATTTGTTTGTTCCAAACCTTGAATCAGAAGCCATAAGGCTGCGATTGCCAAATTGAATCATTTGTTGCAACTGCCATTCTGTTTGGATGCCCAAGGTGAAAGGATCTGATTCAGAGAAATCTTCAAAGAAGAAAACTTGATTTTGATGGCTCTCAACCCACATGCTGATGCTGACGGCATCATCCTCATCAAGTTCATATGTAGAACGTCTGATGCTCCTCTCTTGTCTTCGGACATATCTGTGGGTCAAAAGGTCATCACGATTACATGGGCCACCCTGTCTCTCTACTGATTCATTGTGCCGCTGCATTATCGTCTCCACAGAGACCCCAACATATAATAAAGACAACACTCGAAGACGGAGATCCTCTGAGATATATGGTGCAAACATGGCACGTGTTCCAGCGGCCTTCTTGTCCTGTGGCCCATGGCATGGCAATCCTTTCTTATCAACATGTTTGTCCTGATTATATATTATCAATGCTACTGATGGTTCAGCAATTAAGCGCTTTACAATAAAGTGACAGGTGCAACCCCTCTTAGTATTTGGTCGGCCAGCATTTTTCTTCTTTGGGATATATGTATTCCTGCTGGGCCGTACAATACCACCCTTCCTATGATCATCGGGGCCAAAGGAGCACCAATACCTACAGATTTAATGAGTGCCACTTAAATTATGAAGAGCCACTTGGTAGGAATGAAGAAAAGGATATGTGTGACTTACAGAATATACTCAAGGATGCCATCGACCTTTGGCTTGTAAGACGTCTCAAGAACTCGCCGTCGTCTTGCTTCAACATGAAATCTTGTTGGACAATCTTTATTTGAGGACTCACCCTTCACAAAATCAGCCACTCTATCAAAAGGGATCAGAGCCAATCTATCTATATTGTCACGCCAACCTTCTATCTTGGACCAAACGATATCAACAGAAGAAAATTCTGAAGTTGGAGGATTTTGAACAGGAAGAGACAAAATCTCATCCCATCTAGCCATCTGTAATATTTAGTAATACATTTAGTGCACATAATATGTTGCTGCATTTCTATCTAGTTTTTAAGCAAAATCCACACATATCCGATTGAAATGAAATACGTAATCTTGTCAGGAATCTCAGTGCAACTTATTGATAACTTATAGGCATTTGCATGCATCAGCAAATAGTGTTATAAACCAACAACCACATGAAATTAATTGTTTATGACAATGTCAAAAAAAAATATAAAGGGGAAAGATCACAAAAGCAAAATAAATCTGAACCTTAAGAACTACATAAAAAGTGAAAAGAATGTCTTTCTCTAATGGAAGTACTATACATCAAAAAGAGATTTTCATTAGATTTATTCCTCCCATCAATTTTCATCCAACGGAGAGTATGAACTTTTAAAAAAATAAAAATAAAAGATGTGACCTATATATATTAACATAATACCAAAGGGGTACCACCCATATACAAAAGATTTACAATCGAGTTAGGGTATCAATGACATTTCCAAAATTCTCATCCCTAATTATGTCATGCTTCAATGGAGAGCATGAACAAGCTGAACTCTAAGCTCAAATGTTACAAATGCAAATAAATGCTCCTTAATTGTGTTCAGCTGGCATTTCTATAAGTTCAGTATCTACAACGATTTTGCATGTCTATCTAACCAAATGAGTTAAAACTCCAATCACTTGTTAACAGAACACTGAAAATGACAAGAAATCGGGGGAACTTTTCCTTCAAAAATGTCCATACTTTCTGGTATCATCAACCAATAAGAAAATGTGCAATTTATCATATCAGGGATCCCAATAATACATGATAAAAGATTCCATGCTTCACAAATTACTTCCTGCCTCAGCAAAGAAACAATATTCCACCTACACCAGCTTGCTTTTGAATCCACAAGATATCACAAAGCTAACACAACCCGGGCAACGCGGTTACGAAAAGGACTCTGAAAAAATCTAATTCGTTTCAAAGCAAAAAGGGAAGGAGCGGCCACTAATCTAATTGCGGGTGGAATTAGGCACCAAAAATACGCACCGGTGTTTGTCCAAAAATTCTGGGTCAAAATTTTTTATAAGGTGGGAAGGGGTTAAGCATCCATCTAGCGGTATAGGCTAGCTAGCTAGATTCTAACTTTCATGCATTTTTTAAATTCTGGTGTGAGTACATCATGCAGGTTTAACATAAGATAAAAAGAAAAGGTAAGTCTGGACAGCAACTAAAGCAAGAAAATAAACACTGGACAGCAGCTAAAGCAAAGAAAATACTCATGCAAAAAAGCCTGTTCATCATGGTTTAGCAAACACGTAGTAACCAGCCAAATGCTGCTTTCAGAAACAATTCCATGGTTACCAAATCACTTAACAAAAGCAGTCTATAATTTATTTATTTATTTGATCACCAATTGAGCATTACAGGGAACTGTTTAGTTTAAGCAGTAGGCAGGCGCATTTTGTAGTACGTAAACATTGTTTTGGTTAAAAAGAGTTTTCTGTTGAGGGCCAAAACAGTGGAATGGTGCAGATTCCCAAAATTCCAATAATAAAAAAAATCAAGACACATTTACAACACAACAAAATCAATCAACATTTAAATTATTAAGAAAAGATGAACTCAGAGAAAACTGTACACACAGCAAGCCCAGACCAGATTACCCAAAAAGAAAAGAAAAAAATGGTTGCATTAATGGTAAATAGGCTGTGCAGTGGGGTAATCTTATCAACAAATAATGCATGATCCAAAGGGAGTTCTTTGCATAACAGTTCGCATAAAAATATTAATTCCTAGATTGAAAACAGCAAGCCAATGAGGGACAAACAGAACAAAAAGTTCAAACAAGATCAGTTGCAAAACATACATGTTCCTAGAGCTTCAACAGATTATACTGAACTCTGGATTATAGACATTAAGAGCACAGCACCGGGACAGGAATGTCAAGGATAATATGGTCTTGACATGCTGCTATTGACTTAACAAAAGCGCAGCCAGATTAATAAAATCATATTGAGCTCCAGAATTGGGATCCATCATGCTAAGCAGCAAACCGGTAACTGATCCATTCATTATTTCATGTGCGCCAAACAATAGCAATAACAAAAAGGGGTGAGATACACAACTAAAGATTTTAAAATCTGGAAGACTTGAAACAGGATACAAATGGGAACCTGATATAAACTAAAATAATTAGAAAAACCAAAAGAAAAAATAACATCATACATGAAAACTAAGCAGTGGTAAGGTAATTCACAAAAATGGCATTGTGAAAGGGAAACTATTAGGACTATACCTATCCCAAGCAGCTAAATTTTAAAACATTCGAGGAGCAAGTTTCAAAAGAAACTAAAGCCTAATTTTAAAATTTCAAAGTAAATTTGAACTAACCAAGGTGGGACTGTCTCTACAACAGAAAAACGGAAGATTAAAATAGGCTTGGATCCTCAAAACATATTTGAAATGCTAAACATAAACAAAAAGGACCAAAAGAGGGTGACTCCACTGAATTCAAAATTTAAGAAAAAAATAAAACACATACACACGTACGCACACACAAGGATTAAATAGTCTCGAATGGATTACATAATGAAGGGTAATTCCCAAAATTAAACAATTTAAAGAGAATAATCCATTTAAGAGGAAGTCCAACAGATACATATTGGTTAGGAAATCCCACCATAGCCTTCTTGAGCACTTTGTCAGATTTTGAACAAAGATGAAGAGTCCTAGGCCAGATTGATAAATTAGGACTCTCTTAAGCCTACTGTAAAGCTCAACAAAACAAAGTTGGGCAAAAATTCACCCATTCTCGATTTAAACACCAAACCAGGGGTCTCCATTATATTTCCCATCCAAAAGTGCATTCAACCGATTTATTTCACTCAATATAAGACCTTATTTCATAACCATGCTTCGCTATTAACATAAAAATTTATAATAATGAGACATAAAAAGAAGCATATTCATTG